ATAATAAAAATAATAATGTTAAAAGAAACAAGAATTTAAAATCACCACTCATTTATAACTTAACATAATTTGGAATGTGATGTGTCCTACCACATCAGCAATTCCACTGATAAAGAAAATATCAATTATCACTTTAAAAAAAAGTTCCCCATGCTTGAGAATTGCTAAAAAAAAAAAAAAAAAAAAAAAAAAAAAAAAAGAAAGAAACGGAAACTTTGAGAGGCCAGATCTTTCTCGCCCCTATCAGATGACTAATTCTTCTAATTCCAAAGACCAGGAAATTTGGGCACATATCGAGGAAGGTCCCCACCACACCAATGAATTGGTTTTCTGTTCAGGATGCCTCCAGTGTGAGCTCATTACGCCACAAACCCGGCGTGCATGGGAGGGATCTGTAACAATCCCGAGGCCTGGGGCCCTTTTCCATTTGGGATTGATACATGGGGTGGAATCTGCATTTTTCATCGAACAGTACAACCAGTGTGGCTGCAGTTCTGCTGCAAATCCGATGCAGGAAATACAAGAGAGTCCTTCAAAAATATTCCAATTTGCCTTGGCCTGGCTGCAGAGCCTGTTTGTATGGGGGAAAAAAAAAAAAAAAGAACCTGCTGCAAAATTCAGCTTCTTCCTGGTCAAGGGCATCTATTTCATTCTCAATGTAATTCTGCCAAAGCAAATATTATTTTTGAATCTTTCATTATCCCTGGGAAGGGCTGGAGCAGTGTGCTGGTCCGGGATGCTGCAGGCCAGGATGTGCCATGAGTGTGGCCAGGCTGGATGGGGGGACTGGCAGGGCAGGGGAACCCAATTCCTGGGAAAAAAAACCCCACAACACTGCTGCCTGCCAGGGGGCAGGGGCTGGTCTGGCACATACAGAGAGTGCGGGGTGTTTTCAACAACTCCAGAACTGTCCTCAACCCCACCCGTGGGATGGGCACCCCTGGGCATCTGGGGGGGCAGAGAGTGACCCAAACCCAACCCAGCCCCCAATCCCTGCACCTCCGTGGTGCTGCATTATTTTAGTTTATTACTACTTTATTTATATACACAGTATATGATATACATAATTTATGTGTCCGTATAATTTGTCTTTTATATATATGCGTATACACCGATACATGTACATATGTGTGTATATATATATAATATATATATGTATATATGTATGTAAATTCACACACAAATACGTGTATTTCGTTAATGTTAAATGTATATTTGGATGTTGGGGGTTATTTCTGTTCAAACCCCCCCCAGTCCCCCCCAGTCCCCCCAAATCTGGAGGGGACCCGGCCCCGCTGCGCCCCCAGCCCTGCAGCGCGCGCCCTCTGTCGGGCAGCGCCGGAACTGCAGCCCTGTCCCTGTCCCTGTCCCTGTCCCTGTCCCTGTCCCTGTCCCTGTCCCTGTCCCTGTCCCTGTGCCTGTGACTGTCCGTCCTTGTGTCCCTGTCCCTGTCTCTGACTGCCCCTATCCCTGACTGTCTTTGTCCCTATCCCTGTCTCTGTCCCTGTACCTGTCCCTGACTCCCCTGTCCTTGTGTTTGTCCCTGTCCCTGATCCTGTGTCCCTGTCCCTGTCATCCCTGTCCACCTCTCCCTGCCCTCTCCATCCCTGACTGACTCTGTCCAAGTCCCTTTCCCTGTCCCTGTCCCTGTCCCATCCCTGTCCACCTCCCCCTGCCCTCTCTATCCCTGACTGACTCTGTCCAAGTCCCTTTGCCTGTCCATCCCTCCCTGTCCCTGTCGCTGTCCCTGTACCTGTCCATCTCTCCCTGTTCCTGTCCTCAGCCCTATCCCTGACTGTCCCTGTCCCTGTTATCCCTGTCCACCTCCACTTGCCCTCTCCATCCCTGTCCTATCCCTGCCCTGTCCTGTCCCCCCGTGCCTGTCCCTGCCCATCTCCTCCTTGTCCATCCCTGCCTGTCCCTGCCCATCCTGAATCTCTGACCTAGAACAGGATTTCACTCCCAAAATTGCCTCTTTCCCTGGGAAAGGCATTACCTGCCCCAAACCCATCCCCGCCCCCACAAAAACAAAGTCACATCCCTGAAGAATCCCAAATACCTAAAAACAAACAAACAAAAAAAAAACCGTGGAGGGATGCAAATGTGGGAAAGGTTAAAGTTGACGTTTGCTGCCGCCTGCTTTTGGTGGCAGCATGTATTAGAGATATAAAAAAATAATAAAATACACCCAAACTGTACATATTATAAGGCCGTATTTTTATCTCGGGGTTCTGGTGACACGTACAAACCACTTGAGCTTTGCTTCTGTGGTTTATATCGCCACGAGAAACCCTTGATAAAAATACAGCTTTATATTGTACAGTGGGGTATAGTTTATTTTCCCCATATATCACACCCTGTGTTTTATTTATAAACAGACCCAAAGACACTTGCACATGCAAAGCAGTTTTTTTATTGAAGTAATTCCGAGGTATCAATAATCCTGGATTAACTAACGCATTGCCACACAATAATTTTTGGGGGGTAGCAATGGCCTTTCCTAAAGAGACATCCATGAAAATATGATAAAACACATAAAAAAATCAGTATTTCCATGTTACAATTTACGATTCCCATACTGGAAATTTCAGCTTCTGGTGGCTCGTACTCGCAGAGAACCCTGCTAAAACCACCTCAAAATTTAGCTTTAATGTCTCTTGAATCCTTCCAACGGAGAGGCTACAGGAAATAAAGCTTTGGATAACAGAGAAACGCAGAAATCTGAAAGAAAACTCAAATTATAAAAGAATGTGCTGCTGATAAAGAAGGAACTATGATGAGATTTCAGCATTTTGCCGAATTTGGCTAATCAAGCTGCTTATCCAAAATATACAATTTGAAAAAAAAAAAAAAAAAAAAATCCCATCTCCCCGTCCAAAAAGACAGGAGCCTTTTACACAGATCTCACTCCTCCTGTTCAGGTAAAACACCATTTGATGCCCCAAAGTGGGGAGGGGGAGCTGGGCAGAGCCCGGCGTGCCAGGCTGGGCCACTCCTCCCTGAGCCAGACGCCTCCTCAGGGGGAAGCTTCCACCTCGCATTTGCCACGTCCCTCCCACTCCCTTATCCCTGCTTTAATGGACATTAAAAATAGAACAAAACAGGGCTGGAGATGGGAACAAAATCCATGCACAACAGGCTTGGATCGCTGTAGCCATTCTGCTGTAAAATGTAAAAACAAGAAAGGGCAGCCGAGCTGCCTCCCCCAGGACGCATCCCGCTTCTTTAATATAGTGGTGCCACCACACATTTCACTTTGGATGCTGCATTATATTTCTGTGTCACTCAAATATTTACCATTTTTTTTCCCCCTGAATTCTGCTGGGTGCTCTGAGAGCTTTGCTACAAAGCCAAGGAGCTGTACAGGGGTTGTGTGCCGTGGCTGGTTAGGGACACGCCAGCTTCTCCTTCTCCTTCTTCTCCTTCTGCAGCTTCTCCTTCTGCAGCTTCTCGTGGGACAGCAGCCACTCCTTCAGCAGCTGTCCCCCACCGTAGTTGCCACTGTCCCCACTGCTACGGATCACCCTGTGGCACGGGATGATGATGGGAATCTGCAAAACACCCCAAAATTCAGGAGGAGTAAAGGGTGAGCCAGCAAAAATGTGGGATGTGGCCCTGGAGGGGAATCTCTGGATGGGCTCGGTGTTTTCCAGCCTCAGTGATGCTGTCTGTAAATCCAGCACTCTAAAATCCAGCACTGGGATTGCAGGGACATGGAGCAGCCACATCAGGGCCACCCTCCTGGCAGAGCACAAACAGAAGGAAAACTGGGAAGTGGGAGCAATGGTCTGCACCACCCCTGGAGGCCACCCTGGTTCTTAGGAAAAAATAGGCAAGGACAGGAATTTTAATACATAAAAATGATGTAAAGTCTTGAAAAGGATAAACCTGAGATATTAAATCCCATATATAAAATCATCCCTGCAGCAGCAGGTTCTGCTGCCAGCTGAGCCCTCAGTGCCCAGGGTAGGGAATGAAACCTCACAGACCCAAAAATGCACATGAAAAACTATTTACATTGGAAAATGGGATGGAATTCTTCCCTGGGAGGATGGGTAGGCCCTGGCACAGATTCCCAGATTTGCTGTGGCTGCCCCTGGATCCCTGGCAGTGCCCAAGGCCAGGTTGGACATTGGGCTTGGAGCACCTGGGACAGTGGGAGGTGTCCCTGCCATGGCTGGGGTGGGATGGGATGGATTTTAAGGTCCCTTCCCACTCAACCTATTCTGGAATGCCATGATCATCCCAGGACTAGAAGATTTCTGGGAAAAACCAGATTATTGAGAAGGGATGCCAGTGCCTCAGCTCCCCAGCAGATCCTCTTCCTGCTGTAGCACCTCCATGGGCACCCTGCAGAAATTCTCTGGAAGACCAAGGCATTATTTATTATTTAGCAGCAAGTCAATCCAAAATGAGCTGTGAATTTTTAAAACCCCCAACAGGAGAAGTTTGATTCCAACCTAACCAATTTTAAAAACTCTTTTTTTTTTTTCCCTCTGCCTTCTACTCCCTATAATTTATAATCACACAACACAGATTCTGCAAAATCAATGCCAGAAGTTACATAATGGACTGATAATGCAGAGGAGAACATAAACGTGGTTTTTTTTTAATTTTTTTTTTAGATTTTTTATTACAGGTGATTATCATAGCTGAAGTACACACCATAAAAACTGCAATACATCATCTCTAATCACGGGTGTGTTTTGGTAACTGCATAGTAATGGCATTGCAACCGTGGAGCTGGGACAGCAATCACTCAGCCAAAAGGGCAGTTCTCACAAATCTGGATATTTCAAGTCAAAAAATTACCATTTATTTCTGTGTAGACACACAGACAAATTACACACTTTACCCTCACTTATTTTAATCCTATTTAATCATATAGTTCAGGCACTGTGGTGTATTTGAAGCTGGGATTCAAAAAACCCCAAAGTAGCTGAGCAGCTACTGGCCAGACCATAAATTGAGAGGTTTTTTTCTTTTTTTTTGGGGGGTGTTCTTTCAGTTCACTTAACTGATTTCAACGCCTGAAATTTAAAATCTTAATCTCAGCCCACGTTAAATGGGAATACACACAGGTGCTTCTTGTTGATCAAGGTTTAAATAAAAAATTGCTTCCAATATCTGCTTTATTTGGAGGTGGCAATGCCTCAAGTGATTCCTGCATCTGTGACAACTCCAGTGAGTACCAATAAAAGTTTTGCTCTGTGCCAGGCCATCCCACAGTTGGTTTATGACTTCTTCAAAGAAATTGGAGCTTTTTTTTTACAAGTGTTTTTCTGGTTTGGGGTTTCTCTGCCTTTACACTCCCCGCAGTTACTGCAGGAGGCTTGGCTTGAGTGACAAAGCCATAATAATACACTGTAAAACATCCCTGAGGTTCATTTGCAATTCTTTAAAAATACACACAGTAAAGCAGCAGATTTTGGTGGCAAGGCTATAAATCTTGGTAAAGAAAAAAAAAAAAAGCCCTTTATTTTCAGGTGTGAGGTTTTGGATGATCCCTGGGTGGGTGCAGGACCTGTTCACAGCACAGGGAAATGGGGCTGAGCTGTCACCACCCAGCAAAAAGAGGAAATTAATGCCACTTTTTCCATGCCCAAAACAAAGAATTCCATGCTGAGATTGTCCCAACACAAGCACCCATCTGTCACCCCTCCACAGCTCTGGATGTGGAAGTGGTACAAAGACCATACCAGCGCTGCAATTTAAAAATATTGAATATTGCTTCAGTTTGGCTTAATTGTGGTGACAACGTTCAGCCTACTAAAATAATTAAACCTGCTAAAATTTATTAGGGCCCTAAGGACATTTTAGAGGGAGAGCTACCCTAGTCTGGAGCTTTAATGCCTCAGCTACATTTAATGTAATTTTTATCAATAACCAAGCAGCTCATAATATTATAGTGCTGCTGAAATCTTCATGCTGTGAAATCTAATTCCTCTCCTCCACGAATCCATCACACACACACACACAGCCCCTACCTCAAACACTGCAAAACTTCCAAACCCAGAGATTTGTCTCCAACAAAAAAATAACATGAAGGAGCCCTGGGATCGATGCTGGAGTCCCTCTGATTCGGGCACCAGCTGAATATTTTCTCCAACTTTGCTTTTGTTCTTCTGGGGAGAGGCCCACAAGGGAAAGAGCTTGTTTTCACTGGCAGCCTCATCAATACCTAAATCCTGGTGAACAAGTGACACTGAGAAGCTGTAATCAATAGCTCCCTGTGCGTTTTTTCTTCTGGTCAAATGGTTCAGCACTACTGACAGCCCTGACACTCGGAACATGATGCTAAATCTTTATCAACAGCCATCTGGGTGAGTGGCAGAACAAGGCTGGGCTGGTCATTAAAGCTCCTGGAGATCTGTGAATAAACCAACTCCTCCAGAATGTGTTTGTTTAGGAAAAAAAAAAGTGTGGGGGGGAAAACTCCCTGCCCACAGGGTCCATCGGTCTGAACTGCTTTTAGGAAATTCCAGTGCTCTGGCTCAGGTTGAGGTGAGGGAATGTCCCATGGCGTGGCTGAAGGGTTGGAGAGCTCTTGAATTATACTGGAAACAGCTCGGGGATCACACTGAGACACACTCAGCAAAAATCACTCCTGTGGTTTGCTCATGTCACAGAATGCCAGACTGGCTTGGGCTGGGAGGGATCCTAAAAATCATCCAGTTCCACTCCCAGCAGAAACAAACCCTGTGATGTGACCCAGCACGGGGCTCAGGTTATCACTGGCCACCAAAGGAAGAAAAGGTATTGGGAATGAACACAGCAGGGACAGGTTCTTCCCCCAGAGGGACATTCCCAGGGTGGGATTGTTGGGGTGTCTGTGCAGGGACAGGAGCTGGAATGGATGATCCTGTGGGTCCCTTCCAGCCCAGGACACTCCCTGGTTCAATGGATGAACACACAGGAATTTTCCTGTGCCCACAGTGTTTCAGATCCACCCACCACAATTCCCTCACAAATGCACGACTGCTCCCCCAGTGCTCAAAACATCCTGGTTGAACATCCATGACTTAGCCCAACGTTGTATCCATGATTCAGGATGGATTGGAGCAATATCCCTGATTTAGGACAGGCTGGCTCCAGGAGCAGCCTGTGTCCCTGACTGGGGTGAGCCCATGGAGCAGCACAGCTGGAGAGGGCACAGACCCAGCACAGACAGCTCTGAGTGTGTGATCAGACCACTGAAGACATCTTATTTAAGGCTCAGAACACTCATTCAGGATGGCCTTGGACTAATCAGCCCAACATTCTCCATCTCCCATGAGCTTCTGTGATTTCCTTTTGATCCTCCTCTACCAGTCTAATGAGATTTTTAATTGAACTTTATGGGTTCCCTTTGAGGACCACAGACCTTGCAGTCAGTGTGAGCCACAGCAAACTCTGGGAAGTCTCTCCTACAACAGGTGAGCCATCCCCACCCTGTCCTGGGCATAAACTGGTGGCACATCTTCCACTTTGTAAAGCTGAAGGTCAGCCCAGGAATCGTGTGAAACATCCCATCTGCAAGGGGAAACCTGTGGGATGCACACTACCCAAATTAGAGACCAAGCCTTGATTCGTGGTGGTATCTGGAGAAAGGTGAGTTTGTGATTTTATCCAAGTGTTTGAGGGACAAAGTGACACCCAGCTCAGGGTTATTTCGGGGGGTTCTTTTTCCTGGTACTTCCACCCTCACTAAATCAGGTTTATCACAAATCCATCTCCCAGCACACCAGGATGCTCCAAGCCCCATCCACCCTGGCCTTGTGCACTTCCAGGGATGGGTTTGGGGTTTGGGCTGAGGGTTTAGATCCTGGGTGGTTGTTGAGCAATCTCTGACCTCTCAATATTTTCTTTAATCAGATTTCTACGAGGCTGCAACGTGGAGTTGCAAATTGGGTCAGAAAATCTGTTTTCGCAAGAGTTGACGGCTTTATATACAGAAATAACAAAGGTGAGGGGGTTTTTCTGCAGTGCCACATTTTATCTTTATCTTTCACCTCATGCATAAAATCCGTGTGCATTACACACAGGCAGCCTGCCCATGATGGCTCACAGGCAGAGGACCACGGAGACATTTCTGTGGGAAATATGAGGAGCAGGGAACAGTTGCTCACACTGGAGTGCAAAAGGACGATGTGTGTGTGTGTGTGTGTGTGTGTGTGTGTGTGTGTGTGTGTTTGCATGTGGAATATGGATGGAATTTCACATTACCTCCAGGAGATGAGCAGTGGCGAAATTGTGGTTTGAGATGGGCAGGACTCTCATTACAGCACTGATTTTTTTTTTTTTTTTTAATCATCAGCTTTCTACGATGAAATATTGAGGTGGTATTATATTAATACAGCTCCTTTTCCCTACAGCTACACATTATTATCTATAACTATAGCTTAAAAATTTTCTGCTGGGGACAGAAACCACTGCAGCCACGGTATGGGCTGGGAAATGGCAATAATAGCTAGGACCCCATTTAAAAAAATTGCAGGAGCTTTGCTGTATATTTTCAGAACTATTTTCATCCTTCCTCACAGGGGAAAAAGCAGGAATTTTCACACCACAACCTGCTGTTACTGCTACTTTGGATGCTGCTGCTCCACTGCAGCCTGAGGGCAAAGCTGGGTACATTTCTAGGCGATAGCAATTACATCTCCTTTTGCACAACACTGGATTGTTATTCTTTGAGAACTGTTTCCTGTAGGTTTGCATTGGATTGCCTTATCTTAATGTACACCAGATTATATTGGAAAGCATTCCATCATATTAAAATAGTTTGTATTGTCAAGTACAATGCAGGGTATTGACAAAACACTGCTTATGCTGCTTACAGGAACTGCTTCACAGGGAAAGCTGATGGATGCTGGAAATATCAGGGTGGGCTCAAAGCTGAAGCCCACACGGAGCCGTGTGGGTCTCCCTGGCTGGGTGATACCCGTGGGGAATTGTGGAATGAGGTGGGCTTCAAGGTCCCTTGCAACCCGAATTGCTCTGGGGTTCTGTCATTCCGTGGGTTTAGGGATTGAACTGCTCCTCAGACAGTGCAGGTACATTCACCTGAGCCCCCAAACCCCCTGAGCCAGGATGGGGCTGATCCCAACCCAGACACACCAAGTGCAGACACCAACCCAGGTGACTCAGGTGCATAAATACACCTCAAAAGCTAAACCCAGACAAAAAAGGGAAAACACACACAGATCACTTAGTATAAGAAAACATTTTCCCCAAATCCCCAGGCCTAGCCTAGAGTGCTGCTCCCTCCAGCTGGTTCAAATTCAGGCACCTCACCTCCAGAATCCCAGCCTGGTTTGGGTTGGAACCAGTCCCATTCCACCCCCTGCCATGGGCAGGGACACTTTCCACTGTCCCAGGGAGCCCCTGGCCTTGTTTTCAGAATTGTATTTGTGCCAGAGTGGATGGGCTGTTTATAACACAACCAAAACCACGAATCATCTGCCCGCTGAGGTCCATGTGGAAGATAAAAGGCTTCCCTGACCAAAAAATACATAAGGAAGTTTGAGAACAACAAACTGTGCAGAAGCTGGTGAGGACCAGAAGTGTTTCTCTTCCCAACCCTACCCCATAAATGGTAGGGCATAAATCACACTCAACTGGGCTGTGCATTATTGCTGATTAGAAACACTTACTGACCTTATTCCTCGTGGCAGACCAGTTTCCAGAGCTGATAAATTTAACCTAATGACATTTAGCCTGCAGAGCTCTCTAAATCCAGCATGTCCCAGCAGCTTTGGGCTGGAAGGTGCCCTGCACTCACCGGGTTGCTCCTCATGGCTCCTCCCACGGCTCTGGCTGCCCGGCTGTTGCCAGCCAGATGTGCCAGCTGCTGGTAGGAAACAGCCTCCCCGAACTTCACATCGTTCAGCAGCGTCCACAGCACCTGCCTGGTGAAGGAATCTGCAAGGAACAGGGAGAGGGCACGGCTAGACTGGAGAAATTAGGATGGAACAGCCAAAAAAAATCCCAGCACAAAGCGAGGCTCAATGGAAGTTTTCTCTTTGAAACTGGAACAGCCCCATGCACTGTCCTGTTATTGTGCCCTGTGTGACTACATTTAAATACATTATTAGAGAGAGTGCTTGGAGTAACTGATCACTATAAAAAAGGGATTTAAAGCTTTGATTTTCCTATATTTTTAATTTGCTCCGAGTACAATTATCCTGTTAGCTCGTACAATGTGGCTTTTCCCATTAAATTGGCAGAGTACAAATTAGCATGGAGCCAAATTAAAAGGGAAGGAATGAGTGGCTGTACCTATCTGACAAAGGCCTGGCATCTCCAGCTCATTTCCAACTTCAGCTGGGACGTGGCAGAGACGCCCTAGAGCCAGCACACTCTGAATTATCTGAATTATCCTGCACCTCTGAATTATCCTGCCTGGCTGATTTTATAGTGGGGACCCCCCGAGCTACTGCTCAGCACTGCACACACTGCCAAGTGTAAGGACTGCCTGTGACCTTGAATGTCCTGCACAGCCTTAATGATACAGGGGGAAAAAAAAAATATATATATAATGTATCGGCCATTATTTTAATTTTAATCCGGCAGCAAATTGCTTTAAGTGTTCCAACTGCTGAAATAATGAATAAGCAAGTGCATTAGGAGAGGCTTTCTTCAGCATCTCAGGGTGTTACCCAGCCCAGGACTGTTTCAAGGAAGGAAAAGGGATAGTTCTGCTTGGATTTGAGGTGGGTTGAACACCTCTTGCTCTTCCAAGGCACTTGGGAAAAGCTCTGAAGAGAGAACTTGTGGATAACTTACTGAGAGGAGTGAGCTGGTGACTAAAAACGGGGGAAAAAAGGAGAAGAGACCCCTTCTCCCAGCTGAGAAAAAACTCAAACTCCCACTCTGGCAAAGAAATAAACTGATTAAAACCATTTCTTTCTTTAGTTGTCAAAAAAGACATCGATTACCTTCCACAGGAAAGTAAAGAAATGTGATTTTGTTCTTAAAGGAAACCCATACGGCGTTATGTGTGTGTTAAATAATAAAAATCACTTCTTAACTGAAGGGAATGATAATCACTTCATTGAAAAAAATCTGTTTAGTCTTTATTATAACATTAAGCAAATTAAACATCAGCATAATCCAGGTGATACGAGAAAAGGGTCATCAAAGAAATTAACTTTGTTGTTCATTAATTTACATGGATTAGTAGAGGGCAAAGAGATAGCAAATCTGCTCTAGTTTTTTATGATATAATTTCAAACTGTACACCATTTGTGGCAGTAGGGTGACTTTGGGGTTAATCAGACTGATTTGTCCTTTTAATTGCTTTCTATTCAAAGAAAATTCATTAGATAATGTTCTCTTCAAAATTCATGAATCAATTTAACTGAAGAAACCACATTAACAGCTTTGGGTTCATTAGCACAAGCAGTTGTGTTACTGGCTGATTGCTACGAGGGTTTCCTTAGGCAAACAGATTTTGTTTACTGTGATTCCTTCTGAAAGGTTTATTTCAAATCCAACTGGTCCTTATTATTTTTTTTTTAACCTTTTTAATCTGGCAGGATTAGCTTTAACCCCGTTGCTCAGGGGTCTTGGGGAGTCACTGCCCAATGGCATCATTTAAATGACCAATACCCAGTCCAGAAAATCCTTTTTTTACCCTCAATTTTGGCAGGTTGGGATGGGATGGACCTGAAACTTTTGGGAACCTGTTGGAATCAGGGAGAAAATGGAGCAATGGAGCAGCTGAGGGAGGATGGGGCAGCTCCAGAGCCCCCCAGCACCAGCACAGCCCCAGAGAGCCAAGTGATGCCCAAATTCCCTGGCACAGGGACACAGATTATCCTCCTGTCACAACCAGGGGCACAGATTATCCACTTGCCAGAGCCGTTTTTCATGGGGGAAATCCATGCCTCTGCTCCCACAGAAAACACTCGTGAAGACTTCAAAAGAATGAAATATTTAGCAATCATGCACATCACTTTGGAAATGTATCTGAAAACTCAATTTCATCCTGCAGAGAGCAAAGGCATTAATTAGTTTAAGCAGCTCGAAGAGGCACTGCCAAATCCTGTTATTAAACTGTCTGCAAGTGTGAGTGCTGTGAGCACACCCTGCCCAGAGCAGGGCTGAACTTTCCCCACTTTTCACTGCCAACGTTTTATGCTGTTTAATATCGTTACAAAGTGCTGTAAAACCCCCACATAAAATCAAACACACGGGAATCCTCTGGTCCCACTCTGTGTCCTGGGGAGGATGATGCCAGCAGAGCCATGAGTGGCAGCACCACGAGGTTTTTGTCCTTCCTGTGCCCCTCACCTGCACGTGGGCTCAGCAAAAATCCCCCTCCAGGTGACCAGGTGAGCTCCTGACCACCAGGGACACCTCCAGCATCCCAAACCCCAATGCCCCACCTGGCCTTGGGCACTGCCAGGGATCCACAGCTTCTCTGGGAATTCCATCCCAGCCCCTCTCTCCACCCTCCATATTTACAGATAAATTCCCCTGAACCTGTTGTTAATGTCTAAATGCTCAGCAGCCCACTGGACCTCAATTCTCCATACAAACATGTTAAATCCATGGGGAAAACGGAGAGAAAATCAATTTTACTTGAACACCAGGTGTATTGTAACTTTTAACAGGGTAACTGAAGGTGAGAATTAGTCCAAAGAAGTAAAATCATACACTTCTAACTAATAATCATACACTTCTAACTAATAATCATACACTTCTAACTAATAATCAAACACTTCTAACTAATAATCATGCACTTGTAACTAATAATCATGCACTTGTAACTAATAATCACAGAGTTCTGGAATAGTCTGGGTTGGAAGGGACTTTAAAAATCACTTCATTCCACCCCCTTGCCGTGGGCAGGGACACCTTCTGCTAAACAATATCAATTATACTTTATTTCCATATATTTATATGTTTGTATCTAAACTCTAACAAGGGATTTTGGTGTTGGTGAGGGGCTCAGTCCCTCAGGATTCAGGATGGATGAGGGAAGAGCAGAGGGACCAGTGCCAGTCCCTTCCTGTCCCCTCTGTATCTCACCTTGGGGCCAGAGAGCTCCAAAAAAACCCCCACAGCCTGATTTTCCATCCTTTTAAATCTCTTCGATTAAGAGGAATTAAAGACAGACTGGTTTTTCCTTCCCCTCAAAACTGATTGCTGGGAATGTTAGTTTTTGTTTGTCGTGTTGGTTTATTTTTGTGGTTTATCTTTTTTTTCCTGCTCTTCTTTTTGTTTGTTTGTTTTCCCCCCAGAGTTTTGCAAATGCAAAGACAGTTATAAACACTTGCTCCTCCTCAGCTGCTTTTTCACAGCCTGCCTGGGGTACTACACAGACAACTTTCCTTTTTTTTTTTTTTTTTCACTCATTGGTTCTCACTGTTAATACTATTAGTAAAAAAACCCCAAAACATTCCAGCACCACGGTTCAAAAAATACCCAAATCTGTCTAGGAAACAGCAGCTCCCACCTGAGCCAGAAAACTCCAACTGGCTCTTGGATCTGGGCAGAACAGACTCACACTCAAACTGCAGAATTTTCCTGACAACAGGAAATGGTGTAAACCATTAATCCAAGCAAGAGAATGGATTTTTAGCAATTTTGAGACTTCTTTATTATTTAAAGCCATGTTAAACCTGTCAGCCTACCCCAGACTGACCTAGCAAGTGAATATGTGGAGAGATAATTGTTCAATTCAAATGTTTTGCTCTTTTTATGAGGCTGTTCCATCCCTGGAAGTGTCCAAGGCAAGGTAGGACAGGGCTTGGAGCACTTTGGGACAGTGGAAGGTGTCAACCCCTGTGATTCCATGAAACATCAGGCACTTTTATTAAGGTTTTATGTATTGCCTGTGCATGCATGTTTGCTAAATGTGATACAATAAAACAGAAGCAGGACTATAATGTATAAACTTGCTGTCTGTCTGCATCACTTCAATGAAAAATGGACCAAAATTCTTCCTTTTAACACCTGGAACATTCAGGCTGCCTCACCCTGACTGTGAGCTACATTAAAACCCAATTAATGGGAGCTGCTCCCGATCTGTGCCTTAACACAGTTTTACACACGGCTCCCTTCAGATTTCTGAGGGGGTTGTGGGGCCAAATTCTATCCTTAGAAGCAAGGAACTCTCCCTGGACCTCATCCAGCAGTATTTCTGCAGTTAAACTCCCTGCAAGTCAGGGGGTGTTTAACTCGAGCAGTTACTGATATTCTGACCCATTTTTTTTTTTTTTTTTACACAGTACCTCAAGAGCAGCTCACTACAACTTGCAGGAGCAGGTGGAATTTTAGTGCTGATGGAAATGAGGAATTGGATGCTCAGAGCTCCCCTGGATTCCCACTTCCAAAGCCAAACTTTCAAAGCCAAACTTCCAAATCCAAACCCAAACAAAGCTTTATTCAAACCATGACTCCTTCAACACCAGCAGCTCCATCTCAGCTGAGTGTTCATGCCAGATTTGGAAAGCCAGGACATGCCCAGCCAGGCTGGGGTTGGATCTGGGAGTCTGTGGATGTCTGAGGAATTGCAAAGCACTTGCCAAGTCCCTGCTGCATGTCCCAGCACCCCTGGCAGGTGTTTTGTGGGGCTCTGAGCAGCAGTGGTGTGGTTCCACCAAGGAGCCACCTGATTCTCCTGAGCTAAAACTGCTCCAGGAGAGGAGGAACAAATGCTCTGGATGAAGAGACAGAGGAAATACCAATCTCTTCCCAGCCGACAAACTGCCAAGGTTTGTCCTGCAGAGGGGATGGGGAGAAGCACAAAATCAATTTATTCTTCTCCCACATCAGTTTTATGCTGATTCCTGAGAATTCACCCTGCTTTTCCTGCACTAAGATTTCCCTTACCTCACCTCCTTGGCATCCTCTCCCTGTGCTCCACTCTCCTGAGACCCCACCTGCAGTGCTGCACCCAGCTCTGGGCTCCC